CAAAATAATTATTTTTTCAAACTTAAAAGTTTATTGAAGACTGACAGTCCCTATTCGCACGCCATTAGCAAACTTATTCCATGACTATTGTCATAACTGTTTATTACACCTAGAACAATGACGCAGAATATATGTAAACATTATTTTGTGATTTTCACGTATTCAATAAGTCACATCTAGGGATGGCAGCGATTAATCATTTGATTAAATCAATCGATTATTTTTGTCCAATTTACGATTTAATTGTAACGTAGTTTTGTGTTGCATAAATCGATTATTAATCGATTAATTGTAAATTAATCGCAAAAATATTTTCGAGAAATATGAATTCTATAGTTGTCTAAAATTGGAAACAGCCGAAAGAATTTTTCACTTTGAGCTCATACAATAGCGTAAAGCTACAAAACTAAGTAGAGACGGCTTGGCGGCATATCATCGACGCTTGGGAGGCTTTAGTTGTTACCTCGGTGCCTGCTGAGCGCCTTTTTTCAAAAAGCTGGTACTACAGCCACCGAGAAACGCAACCACTTAACAACAAAACGCTAATCAAAACTTTTGTTTTTGCAAACTTGGTTAAATAAGAAATAATTATTGCCGCTAAAAATACTTGTTTTATTTTATTTAATGCTAATTAACAAGAGAATTTGAAATTTTTTATGGAAAAGTGTTTTGGTGAATACTCACTGTAAAAAAGTGCCTTCGAAAATTCGATTAATCGATTATTTCTCAATAATTGGAATTAATTTTTAGTGGCTTGTGATTAATCATATGATTAGTTAATCGATCACTTGATTTTTGTTTTGCCATCCCTAGGCCCAACGACGAAACCGGTGTGTGTCTAAAACCAAAATTGGCAACGAATGACGGGAATTTCCACAATATTTACAGCACAGTTGTCAGCATTAGAACACTTCAAATCAAGTTTTTGTTGCATAGTTTTAGGCGTAGTAGTTATGACAATAGTCGTACGTTGAGTTGAGTTTTATCATTGGCGTGGGAATAGAGCTGTTAACTTAAATGCTTTTTAGTATATAACGGACTACTGTTACTGTTTATAATTACATACATACACACACACATGCAGTTAACACAGAGATGATATGCCACTCGTACTAGTACTCGTGCCATTGTTTTTTTAGTGACAAACAAATAATTAAAAGTAAAATACATTTAAGATTTGCTGATTGAAAAGATGAAAATAAATTTATGATCAAAAGCAGTGCACCACTTTAAGCTTAAAAAAGTACTACATAAACCACTACTGAACATTCTAATGTGTAATATATTTGCATAAATATGTATGTGTATATCAGCGTACGTTTTTAGCAATTATCGTAACTTAAAAAAAAAACGGATTTTTGTGTGTGAAAACAAATTAAATTTTTAAGCAAAGCTCTGCAGCTGGCTAAACAGCGAAGAAATTTGTGCATTCATAAGAGCATACCCACGTACCGAACATTTTGTATTGTATGTATGTATACTTAACTTCACTATGCTTAAGACCTGACAACTAAAGTCTATGAATTACATAAATGTATTTTTACGAAAGCATTCGCACTCGAATCGCCCATTTCGCACATGAAAACGTATGTAGTACATCTATGCATACACACACACACACACATTCTTACAAATTCTAAAAAGAATTCTCGAACTCAAAACAAGTAACATTTTTAACTACTCGTTGTCTTTAAATCAATCGTGTGAGATATATCCATATTCGTGTATAAATATACATACATATAATAAATAACAGCACAAATCAATTAGGATGCACGAAAAGTGTCAAAAAAAAAAACCGTATTAACCAGAGAAAATTGCAAACAAATTTAACTTTATGGCTGTTCATACTATTGTATATTGCAAAAAAAATTTCGTAAAAATGTAGAAAGTGAACCAAATACTTGCATGCATACCTGTATGTATGTACTTTGAACAAAAAAAAAAAATAAAAAATAAATAAATAAATAAAAATAACAGTGAATATGAAAATATTAAAAAAATAGTAAAATCGTAAAAAAATACAAAACTTCTTAATAAATAAGCCCAACTTTACAAAATTATATACCACATACAAAAATATACAAATAACATAAATAAATAAGCATAGCAAGAACAACAGGAAGTAAAAAATATGCAAAAAATAAAAAAGCGAAATCCCACATAGAAACACAAAAAATAAGTAAACTAGTTGCAAAACAGGCATTTTTCAATTTTTACTAAACAACAAGCATAAAATAGAAAAAAAATACAAACAAAACAACAAATTTGCCCAACTCTCGTAAAAAGCAAAAGAAAAAAATATAAAAAGCAAAACAACAGCCGGAAAGAAATCTTTACGCTACGACTAGAGCGATTTTTTTCTTTTGCAATAAAATATTTAAGGCCCTTAACTGGCACATAGCAAAGAAAGATGGTCAAAAGCATTTTCAGCATCTTCAATACTTTAACACAAAAAATAAAAATTTTATGTGCGAAAAAAAAACAAAAGTTAATACAAATAACTACATAGATAAGCAAACTTACAAATTAAATTCGACAAGATTTTGTGAAATTTAGTGTCTTTACACTTTGAAGTCCTCGTAAGAATTAGCAAACCTACAAAGTAAATATATAAAAAAAAATAAAAATTAATGCAAGCAAACAAGCACTCGAATTACATAGATATGTATGTGTGTATAGTAAATGTATTTCATACATACATGTAACTACAAAAAATCTTTAATCTTACTACATAGAGCGCAACAAATTTTCAAAGTTTTGAAATTTCAAAAACTGCTAAAAAAAAAAATTTTATGAAAAATTAATTGCATAATACATAAATATTTAGTGATTACAAAGTAAAAAAAGGCGAAATATCTAGAAATTTAAAAAAAAAAATCTACTGAAATATTTCCATGTGTCATATATGTATGTATACATGTACTTATGTATGAAAAAAAAAACAAAACAAAAAATAATATATTTAATTGCAGAAAAGCGCAACTCAAAAGCTGTTATTTGCGTTAAATATGAACTCATGATTGAGTCAGATAATTGCAAATATAAAAAAGAGAAATGTAGAAGAGAAGAAAAAAAAAACAAAACAAAAAAATATTTAATGCAAGCAAAATAAATAAAAACAAGCAACAAAAAATATGATAACAAAAATATTTGTGTGTTTTTATTCATCCGCTACACAGCAATTTTTGCGAGAACCTGGAGTGTTTCGACACTGTTTCATCAAAAATTTGCCATGGTTTAAGGATATTAGAGAATGTGGTTTGAGGGTCTCTAAAACCGAAACCGAAGTCCATTTCACTCCGCATTCGATTTGTTAGATAACCTCAATAAATCTTCGCCGACCCAGATGGAGACACACTTGGTAACCACTAAATACTCAACCGATGAAATGTCGCGATCTAAACACTTTGTTACTAACGCCAATATCAAACCCCGAGAGCTGCGAGCTAAGATCCTACAATCTTAGTCTTAGTTGACAATTTAGTAAAAAGTATTGAGATGATTCCACCCCCAAATTATCCTTCAAGCAACTGTGGCAGTAAGGATCTCATGATGAAAATTCCGTTCGCTTAGCTGACATGAGATGGGCCATATGTCCAGGTGCGAACTACAGGTGGTCAGTGGCGCTTCCACTCGCTCTCAAATCGTTGTTATCGTTCCATGATACCTTAGAGAGCGACATGAGGCTCCTGACGACGTAGCAAGAGAGTCTCATTTAAGGGCATTTTTCTTCGCATTCTTTATAAGTCCGGTTATCGGTGACGCATTGCGTTATCCTGCAGTTTAGTCAGACCTGATATTGTGCGATTAGTAGCATTTCTTACTGGACATTGGTCGGTTGGCATACACACCTCCGCGCTGGGTATCGCCTACAATGAATTCTGAAGAAGAGGAAACCGCAGGAAACCTCTTTACGAATCGACTGCTTTAATAAAGAGCAGGAACACCATACTAGAAGCAAAAGGGTGCACATCGTTGCAGGTTTGTCTGACACAAGCCTCCACAACATACTAAATTTTATCATCTACGATGGTTGGCTTCAACATATTCATACGAGGTTTATGCTACCAAAAAATCACTAAAATACTACCTACTTGTGCTCTTTAAGTTATCACATCAGAGTAGAAGCTTACCTGCGTAATTGACGTCACACCATTAAGCTATGGGTCTACTGCTTATTAGATTGCAAACACTGCTACCTGAAAACGCTACAGCCTAAGCTTGAGGTTGGTGGATTCCTTATGACAGCAGACCCTTCCACCAACCCTTTCATAACTGAATTCAACTTCAAGCCGCTTGTAGTTAACCTTTGACTTTCGAATGAAACCTTTATTAGTTAAAAGTTAGGCACTTGCGACTTCCTTTGGGCCACCGTGTTAGATACATACATACATATGTGAAAAGGCTTTAGACGATGGCATTAAATACAATCCGGATTTAGTTTTGATCCTAAAAACATAATTTATCGTACATCAGAATGCTCTTCCTGACCTATTACTACATATCCATAAACCAATCAGGGCTTTAACGAATACAAATAGCTTCTACAGTCAAAATGTGCATAAACTTTCTAGGTAGTTTAATTGTCGTTGTAAATCCGAAGCGCATTTCCCGGAGTGTGGTATAATTTTTATGTAAATATATATCCTTGATCTTTACAGCTTCTAATTATATCCAACTTAGTGCAGATTCGTGCTGTGAGAAATCAAAAAGGTGCTTTTATGCTTGGAAGCGATTGATTCCTCAAGTCCTGCCTCAGACTTTTGGCTTGAGCAGTCTTCTGTTTCCTCTTCTATGTGCCGATTTACTTGCCCCCGGTATGCCCCAGTCGAAAGCCCAATGGACTTTTTCAAGTCCACTTCTGCATCGAGGGGCGACCACTATAAGAAAAACACACTTTTTGGATGTGGGTTGGGCCGGATACGTTCCGGTAACCACTTAGAAAAGGCAGCTTATTATTAAGAGCTGAGTACTGAACTTTTAATAAAACTACAATGTGGTGTTAAAAGACAACAGTTACATTTATTACAAAGTTATCAATAATTAACATTTTAGCAATTAGGTTTTATTAACAGTTTTTCTGTGGCAGTGTATTAATTAGTATGTATATTTGAAAAATAACCTAAGTATTTCGAAATTGGCCTTGAGACGATCAAAAAGCCTTTTCCAACGATTTATTGCTCGACATACAAATATTCATCTTAAGTAAGTAAGTTTTAATGTTACGTTCTGTTAGGACTTTAAAAATACATTCGAGTTAAGCTATGGCTTATCTTTACGACTAAGTTATGTATTACTGATATGGAAAATAATGGTTTTTCTTTAATCTAACATTTTCCATTTGTTGGCGCCTTGGGACGACAGATTTTACTGCGACCATTCGCACCGTACACTATGTTACAGGAAAATGTAAAATACCCACAGGTCGATGACTTTGTATAGTAAGTCGATTGGAAATTTTTATTTTCCTGTGGTGGATTCTTTGTATTATCCATGCTACCCGTAATCGACTTGGTCACGGTCACATAGCTATCCGGAGTGCGTTGCTTATTTGTGCTCTGCTCCTCGACGCTGTCGAGGTCATTGTCAGTGGGTTGTGATTTTATAGCCTTAGGGTGGAATTTTTTCTCCACATTAACGGTACCACGGAAACCGCGAGGCACCATTTCAGTGGTCGATCGGAAGGGATATTTCTGAACACGTCCATTTTGATTTTGTACCAAAAGATATTTATCCGATGAACTTGGAACAGCGGCTTGCTGGCTCTGTGATGGTGAATTTTGTGAGTAAGTTCGGTAAGGTGTTTGAGAATCGGATCCGGATTTGCTATCCGATTTGGAGTCCAGCTTTCCGTTTGAGTTTTCGTTGTAGTACTCATCCTCATCGTCGTATTCATCGTATGGCTCCTCCTCCTCGTCTTCGTTGATTGTAGAATCGTCATCGGTAACTTTGTTGGCGTTGACGACTGGAAAAAGTGTTTAAAAGTATATATTGAATGTGTTTTAATGTTTCATTATCGCAAACTTACTTTCTTTGACACTCTTCGAAGATTTTAAGTCCAGATCGGGTAAAGCACCGCCATCAGCTGATAAAGCTGATACGCCAGGCCCGCTATACACGGCGTCTACGCGATCAGTCACCCTAAAATTTGTTGGAGTATTTAGTCGTCAGAAAAGCGTTAAGTTAGTGCCATTTACTTACCCATCAGAGTTACCAAATTGGCTTATACTGTGGAATAATTCACGATTCTGTTCGCGATAGCTTGCCACTTGCTCTTTAGTGCCCGAAGCAGACTGCGCGGCACCATGATAGGAAACGCCGAACCTGAAAAGAGTGATTTTCAATTAAAATGAAATTGTTTCCAATAGTGGAAAGTGGTGGATTTACTTCGATGTGCCCTGAATTTGCGACTGACTTTGGCCTGAATGGCTGCCAGATTGCGCAGACGCTTGGCCTCCACCGCTAGTCGGTGGTGCAGCGCTACCTTCTTGATTAGGCCGAAAGCCGATTTGAGCTTGCGACGAAGTTTGTCCCGGCCCACTAGACTGTGAATCGGCCAAACCTCCTTTGTCATTTGCTTGTACCTAGAGGAATCGTAAAATGTGTTGCGTCAATATACAGTTCACTTCAACACTCACAGTATGGAAGTAGTAGGCTACCTACCTCGCTCTGGCTCTGATGTATTATGCCGCCACTCTGTGAAGAAGCTTTAGTACCGCCATTCTTCGAGTTGACTTGAACCTGAGATTGCGACTGTGCCGCGCCACCCTGTCCTTGCGATTGACTCATCGCTCCATCATTATTTCCACTCACTTGAGCATTCGCTGAACGGTCGCTATCAGAAGTTGAAGCGCTAGCACTGAATGTTCCAGTTGAACTGTATGTTCCGGATACTTGAGTTTTGGCAGTGCCACCATTCTTTTTGCCCTGTGCACTGGCCGCTGCTTGGCCATCGCTAATGGAAGATTCAGCTTGTGAGAATGCATCATCTGCTCCTCCCGCTCCAGCTGCCGTTATCAAGCTGCTTGGACCTTACGAAATAAATTTTTATATTTTAGTACTTATACCGAGTTATTTTAAATTTTAAATTTACCTTCCTCCTTATACTCACCCAATGCTCCCCCTCCAGGGGCAGCAGCACCGGGATAGCCTACCGCTCCGGGTTCTACTGACACACCACCGGGCAGAACACCAGTACCACCAACACCACCTACACCAGTTCCTGCTGCTCCTATTGGTGCAAATGTTCCGGATCCTGGTGCTTCACCTTGTCCATACGCTTCACCTGCTGGTGCACCTGCACCTATGCCAACGCCTGGACCATAAGTCGATACTGCTTGTGGAAGTGATGGGTATGTTCCAGATGGCACTCCACCCACGCCAGCACTATATATATCACCAGCACCTGGTCTGTAACCTGCACCAGGTTGTACGCCGAGTTCTGGCTGTCCAGCAGCTTGGGCACCAAATCCGGGAGCGTAACCTGCGCCCGGCTGCAGTCTTGCGTCTGGTTGAAGACCGCCGCTTGGTTGATAACCGGCTCCTGGTTGAAGACCTGCGCCAGGTTGATAAACAGCTCCTGGTTGCGGACCTGCGCCAGACTGTACACCGGCTCCGGGTTGTAGACCTGCACCCGGTTGGTAGCCAGCTCCTGGTTGTGGACCTGCGCCAAGTTGATAGCCGCCTCCTGGTTGTATGCCCGCGCCAGGTTGTAGACTTGCGCCTGGTTGATAACCGGCTCCTGGATGTACGCCTGCGCCAGGTTGTAGACCTGCACCTCGTTGAAGACCTGCGCCGGGTTGTAGACCTGCGCCAGGTTGATAACCGGCTCCTGGTTGTAGACCTGCACCTGGCTGATAACCGACTCCTGGATGTACGCCTGCGCCAGGTTGTAGACCAGCACCTGGTTGTAGACCTGCACCTGGTTGATAACCAGCTCCTGGATACACGCCTGCGCCCGGTTGTAGACCAGCACCTGGTTGAAGACCTGCGCCGGGTTGTAGACCCGCGCCAGGTTGATAACCGGCTCCTGGTTGTAGACCTGCACCTGGTTGATAACCAGGTCCTGGATGTACGCCTGCGCCCGGTTGATAGCCAGGTCCAGGATATACGCCTGGGCCTGGTTGTAGACCTGCACCTGGTTGATAACTGGCTCCCGGATGTACGCCTGAGCCCGGTTGTAGACCAGCACCTGGTTGTAGACCTGCACCTGGTTGTAGACCTGCACCTGGTTG